CCGTTTTTCCTCATTTCTCGGAGGCAAAATGAGCAAGAATGCTCATTTGTACATCATTCTAGCGAGAAATTAATGACCTTTTTAGAAAATCAACCATAGATGGGGAAATGTTGGCAGTTTTCTCAAAAAATGCTTGAATTCACGAAGTTTTAGATTTGCGTGGTTTTTTTTTGAGTTGCAAAATCCACTTGAACATGACGCTGCTTTTTTCGAAGTTTCTCAAGAACCATTCGAGTCAGAGAATTCGTTTTGGCATCGTTGAATAGAAAATTGAATGGTGCGTGGGGGGGCTTCACCCCCCATGACCCTCCCCTGGATCTGCCCTTGTGTTCAATCAAATGGAGTTACTGAAAGAGTAACATCCTTCGCCATTTTTTAATACTCCAGGTCCTTTTATATGAAGAAACGCCCAGTTTTGCAGAAAACTTTTGAGTGTGTTAATTAACAAAAGGAAGAAGTTTAAGTCAACAAGCCGACAACAAAAAATATTTTTACCAGATTTAAAATCGCAGTATGGAAGGTCTCAGGATGCCCAAGTCAATATGGCAAAACGTCCGCAGTTTGACTAAACAAGATTTTGTGTAAACAAGTGATCCAAATTCTCTGATTTTAATTTGGAATTTTTCAATTCATGGGCCCTGATGATGGCCTAAAAATTTCCGAAACGTTGGTCCAAGAGCCATAGGGTTTTGCTTCCATTCCTTCCTAAACGCACATCATTCAACTCAGTGTCTAGAAAATGTAGTCGGTCCAAACTGAGCTTGCTGAGCAAGACGTCAATAGCATCTACTAGCCATGATGCCAGCAAGAAGTTTGTTAAAGTGCTATAAAAAAAACCAGTTTCTGCCTGCTCAAAGTGCATTCAATTCTTGATAGATTCACTACTGGCAAGGTTGAACTCACGTGGCTATGAAATGTTCAATTTCCTGCTGCAAAACTTGCTTCCAAATGATCCAGGCTATGGATTGTCTGAAGACTTCCGAAGAGAACCTCCGCCAGAAGGGCATCAGCAGGTCCGCGTCTGTCTTCTGGGATCGATTCAACGGCCGCTGGACCAGGCGTAGAGCGCCACATTCCAGGCTGGGTGAATATTCGCGTTCGAGAGTCGCGATCAGTTGCCACGCTCTTCTCTGGAAATTCTTGCGGGTCCAGGAATTTTCGTCGCTCGCTCGGTTTACGCACGCCAGGAATCCAGAAGTGATTCCCTGTCGTTAGGGTAAGTCGCTTTTCGAACAGGCCAGTTATTGATAGCGGCGAGAGCTGGATGGTCTGCCTACCATCAAGAGCTGGATATTGATGTTTTACGGCCGTGTGAATTTAATGAGCAAACATGTGCCTGGAACGGGCTGGAGTAATAATTCTATTAGGCGCCCATCAACGCGATGGAGCTTCCAGCTCTTTAAGTACCACTTTTTTTGAATGTTTAACTCAGAAAGTAGTTTTTCCCGGGAAATTTCAAACCATCGTCGGCCTTGCGAAATATTTCGTTCCTAAGATCTTCTTCTAAATTGACTTCTTGTGGCATCAACCTGGAAAATTGTTTCCATTTGTTTGGACAGTGAATATTTTTTTGCAGTCTTTGAAAATTTGTGTAAAAACTCTAATACAAACCCATCAAAAGTCCGCGATAGCTCTTAGGCCAATTCATTCAAACGACTCCGATTCCAACACAATTTTAACTCGGATTTAGGAAAATATCTGGATCGTTTCAGAATTTCGAGTCACGTTTGAGTACACTTTACAATTGCAATAGTTCGAAGCTGTTTTCAGCTGAGTCCGCTTTAAAGCTGCACTTCAAGTCCATTAAAGTTTCGTTTCAGTTCCAGAAGTCCTGCGAAATTTTTATATAGTTCTGCTGTCGAGATCGCGAAGAGTGGAAGAATAATTTGCATATTTTAGCTCTTGGGAAATTAGCTGACAATCCATGGTGCGAACTCGATCAACTACATGCTTAAATAAGTATTTTTCTAATAAAAAAGGTCATCAGGGTTTTGCGGTTTTCGCTTTTAAGCCTGGAGCTAAATTGTATTTAATTTTTTTCCTTTGGAACAGGTTTCGGACAAGAGCGGTAGTTCGGTAAAGTAAATTCCCCTAAAGCCCGAACTTAATCAACTAGATTACGCTCGTTCTCTTTTCCGAAACGGAAATTATTCACGAATGTTGTTATTGAACTGACAATGTTTAGTAGGGTTTTCTATGGAATCAGAATGCGCTTAGGACGTGGTTTCTCTTAGTTGATAACCCGGAAAATACTGGAAATTTGTAGGAAAACTCAGTTAATTACAGCATATTACGCAGAAGAGTCTAGCAGAGCGGAAAAGCGGATACTTTTCCCCTGACTTAGACCTTGTTTTATAGTTTCCAAATGCATAAACTAGTAAACTCTTTGCTATTTAACACACTTACTATTATTTATTTAATATTTCAACTTTTTGTGAATTCAAAGGGTTTTTTAAGTATTTTTAAGCTCAATTTAAACTGTCTTTATCGCATAAAACTAAAATTGTGTTTAGATTTATCGCCAAATTTCATAGAAATGAATTGAACTCGTAAACCCACTTTGGGCTTCCAAAAAACACACATGAAAATTACTGTCTATTTGATAATGTTCTTCTCAGTTCTGTTCAGTTCAGAATGTATGACAGACATTTTTAGTTTAAAATTTTTAAATTCAGAACTGGCCGGTGATGATGGCTGCTCACTCACGTTTAATTGAACATTTCGGATCGATGCGTGAAAGTTTGCAAGCAAATTCCCCGGCTTTTCAAATTCGTGCCCAAACTGACATTGTCCGAGTCCCTGTTTTGTTATCCTTTCATCCTTTCATGCATCTGCAAATACCCATCGCAAGGCTTAAGCCACTTTATCGATAGAATTGGCCCGAAAACCCGCTTCACCACCGAAAAATTGTCCTATTGAAAAAAAAGCCGGAGCAATCGGCAAGTCTAGAGTAAGTAGGTACTTTAAATATCGTTCTCCCAATTTTACCCAAAACAAATCATCAAAATCATTACATTTTCCTGACTGTATTTCGACTTAATCCAAAAGAAATTCCAGGGTTCCAGTCAATTTGATTGTTTATCATTTAAAATGTTACAAATACGTTTCGGTGTTTTTCTCCACCATCATCAGTTTGTCTTCACATTTGGCAAGCCCTTCCCCAAAGGCTTGCCAAATGTGAAGACAAACTGATGATGGTGGAGAAAAACACCGAAACGCATTTGTAACATTTTAAATGATAAACAATCAAGTTGACTGGAACTCAGGAATTTCCCTTGAATTAAGTTATAATTTAACTGGATATGACCCACAATTTGATTTTTGAAAGTTTTTTAAATTTATCCTCATGGTCAAGATGGGCAGGCTAATTTTGACTAAAAGTGCTTCAAATGCTCACTCCGCCCCCAACTGCATCAACCAAAGTATTTCACTCAAAAGAATTATTTTACCTCAATCGCGCCCAGTTTTGTGCCTTGTGGATTATTTAAAACATCTCGATCGAAGGAATATTTATGTTGCGCTGCATTCGGTTGCTTTTTTATTTCCCTCCATTTCCGCTAAATGCGAAATCATTATTTTGAGGATTTTGCTGACGAGATAATGCAGCAAAAGCAGATTGACACGTTCATTTGG